GGTTATAGAGTCAATTGTCATGACCTTAAAAATAAATTATTTATTAACCGGTAGAGTCAATGACACATCAATAGAATGGTCAAAATTTGAATGATACTGATTGTTTGAGGAAAGGCATAGAATGTTTTAAATTTTAGGGACTAATTTATAATGAAACCAAAGTTTGAAGTTTGATATAAAATTTTTAAAATTTAGGAATTAATTTAAAATAAAAATCATAATTTAGAGATCCCTATGCAATTAACTCAAAATTTTGGAATTTGTATTAAAAATTAATAGTGAGAATTACAATTTTTTAACATATATATAGGGATAGTATATTGTTACACAATGTAAAACTCTTTTAGTTTTACACGGACTTAGGATAGTTGGATGAGTTAAAATAGATGGATAAAATTAACAGTAGGAAATGAGAAGATATTCATTGGGAAAAAAAATCAATCTCAGCCATCTAATTTTACATAATGTAAAACTCTTTAGTTTTACATAATGTAAAACTCTTTAGTTTTACATAGATTTGGACCGTTTGATGAGTAAAAATAGATGGCTGAGATTGACTCCTTGTTTTTTCCAATGAGTATATTCTCATTTCCTGCTGTTAATCTCATCCAATAATCCTAAATCTGTGTAAAACTAAAAGAGTTTTACATTGTGTAACAGGATCATATCCTTATATATATATATATTAACATGTAAACTCTAAGCATAAAAATTTGGCAAAATAAATAAAAATATTAATATCTTAAATCTAAATTTTAGATAATATTTTCCAAAAAAAGATAGTTAATTTTAAGTTGTTTATTTATTTTAGATTTTATATAAAAATTATCTTTTTGACTTGTTATATATAAATTATTTAAATCTCTTATCGTTAAATTTTAAAAAATTTATTATAGTCTTCAATCTCTTATTGGACGGGAAAGTATATGAAAGTTATAATTATAATTAGTGTTATAGAAAACTATATATATATATATATATATATATATATATATTATTTTAAAGTAAATTGAATTTTAAACAAGTAACTTTTTGTGTGCTCTGATTGGGATTGTTGTTATTTTTATCGTGTGAATTAAAATGTGAGACCTAAGCTGTTGCATCAATTACCTTTATCTTTATATTGACTACTCATTCAAGAACTGATAAAACTAGTATTTAAAACTTGGAAGAAAGAAACACTTGAGCTAAAGTTGTTTGTCTGATGAAAGTGCTTTCGTCTTCATCAAACTAATCTTCACTCTCCAAACCTTTTGTAATTTCAACAAATAGTGCACGCTCTTTCATGATATCCCAAGTTTTCTTATTATTTACTTTTATAAATTTCATCCCAACTGTTCAATCTAATTTTAACAAAATTAAAAATTATCGAAATACAGAACTAGTCTATTCTAGAGTTGGAGTAGGCATAATTAGTAGAAATATAGATAAATCTGATCTTCACAATATAAATATACACCAACTTTTATTTAATACTTATTTTATAATAGGTAAACTCTAATTTGATATAATGTCTGATATACAAGACATTTCTAATAGGAAAGATATAACAATGTATCACTTATAGGTTGAGAATCCAATTAATTTGAGGTCGCTTTAGTAGGTTTTCAATTTAGAAGATACTTGACATTATTGAAACTGTTGGTTGCAGGTTGCTATCTCAATCGATTAAATGACGCTTTAATGAATTTTTTCCAGACCCAAATGTACGTTATTTTATTTAGTTACGACCTTATTTAATAAAAAAGTAGTTGTAGACAAAGAAAATTAGTTCAAATTTGTATATACACCAAAAGAAACATAATCATCAAAGATTTTAAAATCGTGTGGGCAGGGAAAAGCAAAAGACAAAGAGGGAAGTGCATGTCCTCATGATATTAAATACTTAATTAATGGTCAAAGAGTTGGTGTTTGCTTGGGTTGGTAGTAATGGAATTGTTTCATTATTAAAAAAAAAAATTGGTGAAGGTGGCAGGTGTTTGCTTAACAAGCCAAAACAATGTATAAAGGGGAAAGTGCATGATTGGTTTTAAGGAGATTTAATTTGGAAGTGAAAATAATGGATCTTTGACCAAAACTTTTTTGATTGAATAATTGAGAGACTTTTGGTCAAGCTTTAGTTGAAGCATGCAATGGTTTGTTTAAAAAGAGATGTCACCTCAAATAATATTTATGATGGGTGGGAATCAAAGAGGCTTTAGTGAATTTGGATCTTTGCATGGCAACAAACATACTAGTGATGCCTTGGCCTTTTAATTAGTAGGGTTGGAAAGGCTACCTACAATCCTGGCAAAACTGCTTTTACCTTAATTAATTATAAAACAAAAAATGGTGGAAAACAAATGAAACCTGATTGCTTAAAGTTGAAATTAGGACTCTCTATCACTTATTTCATTATATATATAGTGCCTTATTTGGTAGAAATAATGAAAATGAGAAAGTATGAAAAATTTGTTAATCAATGATTAAAATTAAAGTAAGAAATTAATTATGAACTTTAACCATTTGATTAACAGATTTTGAATTCTTCCTCGTTTCCAGCTACATACCAAGCAAAGTCTAAAATCTCTTTGACAACTTTTTCTTTTCTTTCAAGAGTTTTGTTTTATTTTTTATTTTGAAATAAAATAAATGTTTTCAAAAGACTTTCCAATGAAAAATATATATTATTCAACGAAGAGGTAAGATTACAGTATACGAAGTGTCCATTAATAGAATATCAAGGTCTTAGAATTTGGATAGATATTGCGTAGAAATTTCATTGATCTAAATTAAAAGAGCAAATAGAAAATAGAAAACAAATCCTAATTCTTATTTGTAATAATTTAAAATTATCGTATTGTATTTGTATCTAGTTTTTTATTTGTGTTGTCTTTGTTAAATGAAGATAACCTGACTTCTCAATGTTTAATTGAGGTGTTTCAAGATGTCTTGAAAAAGATAGTCGGCAATTATTCATTTCATTAAAAAAAATACATCTCAAATAAGAAAAAAAATACTCAAACGTGAGTCAAGTGATGTTTTATCCTTTGAAAACAACTTCAATTTTTCCCCTCAAAATGAATTGTTTTTCTCCTCCTATGCATGTGTCATCACATCATAATATAACAAAAATATAATGCGACATGTGCGGCTCAAATGAATAGTTTCAACAATATTTTACGAAACAAGACGATCCCTACCCCATGAGCCGAGCTCGGTCGTAGTGACGACATATTACCAATCCACTTGGCCATGGTCGAGCAATTAACTTGAATGTATGTCACTTTATGCTTTGTGCTCTCTTTATTTCTTGACAATGTATGCTGGTTTGCTTTGACCCAAAAGGGATTGAAAAATGAATGACATGAGGCATACATATAGTTATTTTATGACTCATGATAAGAAAGTTCACGAAAATCAAACAACAAAGAAATGGATCCATGATTTAGAGTTTTCAATCAAGGTGAAAATAATATAACTCAAGTAGAATTAGTATCAGTACGGGACTTAATAGTAAAGCAAATCTTTTGATAACATGACGATTTAGTTAATAATAATAATAATAATAATAATAAAACTTGGAACAAAGGCTAAAAGAGAAGGAAGTGAATAGTTGAGACAAGAAATTAACAAATATATATATATAGGACCCGAAAGACAGATATGGTATGGTAGGCGTGGCCCATTCGCCCATGCCGACTCAGTTTCAACTATAAAACATATATATGCAAATTGCAAAAAGGGATTATTCCCACCTGCATATGTTTCCAATAATTAATTTAAATATATCCATCCATGCATCATTATATATATATATATATATGATATAAGATGAGATTCTGTAGTCAACTTCATAGAATATATATCTAATTCTCTTATCGCTTCTCAATCAAAATATACTAATAGAGAGTAAAATTTTAGATGCTACAAAGAAAATACAACTAAAAATATATATGACTAATTGAAATTTTGTGAACCAATTTTATGCACAGGCAAGTTAAAACAATAAAGTTGGAAAAAGATGCCACAAATCTTTAAACCCACTAAAATAATATCTTATTTTATAATAATAAATTGGCCATTTCACACATATAATTATAAAACTTCAAAGGTATTCTTAAAGTATTAAAACTTGTTTTGCAAAATAAAATTTTAATATATTTAAAAAATCGAAAATTGACTTTTCAAAATCCTTTATTTTATTTATTATAAAATCTTTTCTTTATATAAAAAGTGTGATGCTATAATAGCAAAATTAATGTCAATTGAGGCTTACATCACCAACACTCACCATGTAGAAAGTGACTCAGATACCCCCCACCACTATTTGCCAAGTGTTTTCCACTCTCTCTCTCTCTCTCTCTCTCTCTCTTGCATTTTAATAAATAGAAGCTTAATATTTGAAGCGTAATAGTAATACAGATAATTTTAATTTCCAAATGGATAATCCTAATGGAATAACTTTGGGTGAACTCACGGTTTTATGTCACCGCATCAAATCCTTCCTTATCGCCCCTCAAATATAATTTTCATTAATAAATTAGAAAATATTTATCAAATAATAGTCATTGATTTTATTCTGAAAAATATTTATATTTATGTAAATTTTATTAAATTGTTTTAGTAATTAAAAAGAGTGTTATTTTTTAGAGGATCTGAATTCAAACAATTACGTTCATAAAATATATACATACTGTCAACGACTAAATTTTTTTCGAACAAATACTATTTTATAATAACTCAAACTATTTAAAAATATAATTAAGTAATCTTTAAATACTTGAATTTAACCTTTAGAAATTAATATAATCTATAATGAATATGAAAGTTTAAAATATTTTTGGTTTGCCATTATCTAGGCTTTTCAAAAAAAAAATCCCCATAAGACATAATAAAGTAAATGTATATTTGATACACACCCACCACAAATGCCAAGCATAATGGAATGGGATTGTTTCCCTCGAAACCACTATAAATATGGCCGATCCCCCACCTTCCCATTTAGGGAGAAACACGAACACTTCCTCAGTTCTTTCTTCTTCCTTCAAACTCTCACCCCTTTGCGAATTTCTTCATAAGAAAAAGAAAAATGGAAAAGTTGAGATGTTGTGGCAACTTCCTTGAGAGTTCCAAACCTTATTTTGCAATGATTTCACTTCAATTTGGGTATGCTGGCATGAATATCATCACCAAAGTTTCACTCAACAGAGGCATGAGTCACTATGTTCTTGTTGTCTACCGCCATGCTTTTGCCACTGCTGTCATTGCTCCCTTTGCTTTCATCTTCGAAAGGTTTGAAATTCATTTCAATACACATACATACCATCATATATATATATATAAATATATATGGGAACTGAGATGGATTTACATGAATTTTGCTGTATTTCAGGAAAGGGCAACCAAAGATAACCTTCTCAGTTTTCATGCAGATATTCATCTTGGCTCTTCTGGGGTTAGTTTTTTCTTTTCTTTTCTTCTTGAAACCCTTTGCTCTTTGTTGCATAAACTTTGCTATGGAGAATCTTAACTCTAACCAAATACATTACAGGCCAGTGATTGATCAGAATTTCTACTATGCTGGGCTGAAATACACATCTCCAACTTTTTCATGCGCCATGAGCAATATGTTGCCTGCAATGACATTTGTCATGGCTGTCATGTGCAGGTATAACAATGACAGAATATAAATAAAAATCTAACCATATTTGTGTCAGGATGGTTTAATTGATTCGAATCGGATTTTTGATTTAGGATGGAGAAGATTGATATTAAGAAAGTGAGATGTCAAGCCAAGATAGTGGGAACAATGGTGACAGTGGCAGGGGCAATGTTGATGACATTATATAAAGGACCCATTGTTGAATTGTTTTGGAGTAAGAATATTCATCCTCAACAATCTTATGCCAATAATACAACTGGAAATTCTGACAAAGATTGGGCCAAAGGCTCCATTTTCCTTATCTTAGCCACCTTTGCTTGGGCTTCCCTCTTTGTGTTACAGGTACTTGAAACTCCTAAAAACCCTGATTTAAACCATCGTTATTTTACCGTAATTGACCTTCATTTTTTGTGCAGGCAAAAGCATTGAAGACATACAAGAATCATCAGCTTTCGCTAACATCATTAGTGTGTTTTGTGGGGACATTACAAGCCATTGTTGTTACATTTGTGATGGAGCATAAGGCTTCAGCTTGGCAAATTGGTTGGGACATGAACCTTCTTGCGGCTGCCTATGCTGTAATAATCTAACATCTCTCTTCTATCTGTTGTTTATCTTTTCCTTTACAGACAATGAACTAAAAGTGAGTTTATCTTGAATTTTGATGATTTTTTATAGGGAATTGTGACATCAAGCATATCATATTATGTACAAGGGATGGTGATAAAGAAAAGGGGTCCAGTTTTTGCCACTGCTTTCAGTCCTCTGATGATGATCATTGTTGCAATCATGGGCTCTTTCATCTTGGCTGAGAAGATTTTTCTTGGAGGGTAACGATCTCTCTTCCAAGCTCAACTGTTACATTATTTTCGAACGATTTAATTCGAATCATAAACACCTCATATAAAAGTATCTTATAATGGAATATTAAGAAAATCATTGCTTGAATTGATTAATTGCAGGGTGGTTGGTTCCATTTTGATAGTGATGGGGCTTTATTCTGTCCTGTGGGGAAAACACAAAGAGAAAGATAGTGGAATGGAGATAGAAGATGAGCCAATCAAAGCTATCCAAGCAATTGGAGATATTGAAGCCAACCAAGTGCTGGAATTGCCCAAGAATGAAGCTAATAATAATAAGCTCTCAAGTGTTGTCTTAACCATGGAAATGCCTGAATCCCCCATTAAACCCAGCAATGACAACAAATAGTTCAAGTTTAGTTTAGAATTTGGAAATTTATGGGGTGTTTTTTTTATTAACACTTTTTGGTCCTTATTTCTATCACTTTTAAGAGAAACTCGTATACTAAAGTAAAATCATGGTTTTTTTTTTTAATTTCGTTTTTCTAGTATGAAATAATTAATGTTGTAAGCTAATTCTGTTAAGGGCTCTACAGTGAATGAAAATTTGAGAGAATCCCATAAATTCTTCTGCTTTATCTTAATACCGTATTAAACATTAAACTAATAAAGAAAACATAAAAAAGACAAAATGTTTGAGAGGAATATGAAATGACAAAATGTCTGACGTATGATTCAGATTCCACTAAGGTAATGTTAGTGGGTTGGACCTTTATTTCATGTGCTGATTCCATGAAATGACCAAAAAACTGTTGCATCTTTGTTGGTGAATCAGGTGCTTCAAATATCAAGTTGCAATCAATTAAACACCATATTCATTAAACGTCGGCGTGTGTTTTTTAAATGGCAGACAAACCAGGCTTCAATTATTTTCAACTTTCTCCGATTTATCGGCGAGAATAAAAGTATAGATTCAGATGGGCTGCATTTCATTTTCACACGTTATGTTCTCTACAATAATGCTTTATATTTATGTGAATCATAGCTTAGGGACTGCAAATACTGGATTGCATGCTGGATGTCACCTATAAAGCTATAAATAATATAATGCTGAGAGGTGTTGATGGCTAAAAAACTTATTTGTTTATCTCCTGTTTAGTTTGGAAATGAATATTATATATATATAATTAAAAATATTTTCTTTTGGTCGATTAAACATGTGGTATAATAATAAAGGATGTCACTTTAGGAAGCTAATTAATTTTTTAAAATAAAATGAAATTATGTAATATGTTTATTTAATAATAATAAAAACTCTTAAAAGATTAGACAAATCAATGTGAATTTGGAAGAAATGAAGGAGTTGTTGATTTTTTTTGGTCAATTAAAATATAGTAGAAACATGAAAATTTGATATCCATCCAAACATTTTTTATATTTTTATTTGAAAATCCTATAAAAGTAGAAGTAAACTAAAAGTACTATGGTTTAAGAAATAATTAAAAATAATACCGAAATAGAAAGGAAAAAACCATAAAAAACTAGTTGGTAGGATAAGTAAATATTTTAAAAATTTAAATTCACATATATATTATTTATCCTTATGATGAATTTGAGTCAAACATATAAAATTTATATTTTGAGAGTAGTAATTTTTTTATTAATATAACTCTCAACTATTTTGAGAGTAGTGCTCGAGCTTAGGACCTCAAGGAATAACAATAATTAAAAAGGTGTGAATTTAAAAAAAGTACAGAATGATAAGATGGAATGTGGAAATGGGGAATTTGATGATATCAACGGATCCTTCCCTATCATCAGCTAGTTGATACACAGTTGACATAACACCACCGATATGATACGTCATATTATATATTCAAAGGAACTGCCAAACTATTCTTTCAACATGCAAAACATATATATATACATACGTCTGTCATTCCAATAATCTGCCAACTCACCACCCATGTTTTCCTTGCAACAATTTCATCCCATTTTATATGTTAGAATTCATAGCTAGTTTTTAGATTAAGTAATCAAATATGTAATAAGATCATGAATTCATATTCCATAAGCAAAACTAAGTATGGATTCATATTCCATAAGCAAGGTTTATATGCTAAATCCTTAACTAGCTACTTGCTCCTTCTCTGTGTTCGCCAAACCATATTATTCTCCTTGGCCTCACTTCAATATCATTTTTCTATATATTTTCATCATCCTCATATTCTATCCAAACAACGTTTACATCAACTAATATTCAACTCTACATATATATAACTCTTTTATTACAAAAATATATTTTAAATGAACTATTAAACAAAATATAATCCTATTCAAACTAATTTTTTTAACAATTCGAACTTAATTTGACCCGACACATTTGAATAATATGCAACAATTGAACTTGTTCCTGATTCTAGTTTCCACTTTGCAGGCAGAATTTTTTTTCTTTTTGCCAAACTAAGATTCTTGGATATCTAAACAACATTAAGTCAACTTTTATTTCACTGTTTTTTATTCTGGAAATGATTCTGATTTTGGGAATGCATGCCAACCTACTTCTTCATGAATAATACCTAATCCTAAAATAACTCAACTTATTAATATAAAGATAATAATACAAATACGATATATAAACATATAATATCTTAAACATGATAATAATACATTATAGTATAATGGGAGACTCCCTGGCTCATTCCCTGAATTGCTGCTGTTTCCTCAGCAGCTCTTTTTATGTTATTAATAAAATCAATTTTGGCTAAGCTAGGGGGGGGGGGGGGGAAGAAGCAGCAGCAGATAATCCAGTTGGAAAGAGTGCATGGAAATCACTTAGTATGATTAGTTCTTATCTAATAGCAACAATATAATTAATTTTATACACTCTCGATAAGATATTGTTTCCATAATGTTCCACTTAGTATTATATTTGGTTAGTATTCTTCCTACACAAAGATTGTAGTTAAAATCAACAATAAATATCTGAGGAATTAAATTTGTTGTAAACCGGGATAAACATATTTTTTAAAAATTAAATAAGACCACATTAAAAATTCCTTTATATCTCTATTGAGTTGAGATTCAATCGAGACAACGAAAGGTAAATATGCCTAGGGAGTATTTGTTTGGAATTTTTCTTAACCTATTGAAAATACATATACACATTATATACGTAGTTGCTTAAACCCCAATACTCTAAAAAGATTTACATTTTCTTCGATTTTTTTTTTCAAGATAGTGGATATATATAGCTATCTAAAAGAAGTCCATGTATATTATATGCTAAAAAATAGAGTTAATAAATGAATAATGATGTGGACCTTATAACAGAATCTATACTATCTGAGATTGATGTTTCAGAATAACTTAATTTTCACCATGGATTGAACTTAATGAGAGTAAGTGGGATAATGGATCTGACGCAGCTGCCACATTCTTGCATTAACTTGCAACATAAATTGGCAACCATATTTAATTCATAATTTCTATAGTGAAAATGATCATATACAACAATCATTGATACCAGCCAGAGGTAGTGTTTCTCACCTATTGGTGTCTCGAAATTGGGTTTTGCAGTGTTCTCAACTATATTTGTGCTCTTCGTCTATCATAATAAGTACATTATATTCTCAAAAACTATGTAATATTATTCTTTTTATAAATATACAATAAGTATAAAACTTTCCCTTTTAGATTAATGAATTTGAAATTGTCAAATATATAAATAGTTTTTTTATTATGAATTTTTCTATTAAATCTACACTGTAAAAGAAATTATAAACTAATTTTATATTAATAATAAATTAATATAATAATTTTATGGATAATTAATGTAATTGATATAATAATAAATTTAAGCTTCAATCTTTCTATTTTATTTTAATTTAATCTAATTTCTAAACAAATAATCTTTAATAGTTTAATATTTTATTAATTTAGGGTCTGTTTGTTTGGGGGAAACCAATTATGGAATTGGTTTTCCTCGAAATCCCTTGTTTGTTTCACGTAATTCGTTTTCCGGAAAATGTTTTCCCGTGTTAGTTTCACGTAATTCGTTTTCTGGAAAATGTTTTCCAGTGTTTGGTTAGAGGAAAACTGGTTGGTCAACGTAAAACATTTTTCTGGTCAATAGAATTTCCTTTGTGTTTTCTGGAAAATGAATTACATTCTGATTTTCCGTAAGTCATTTTCCGAACTTTTCACTTCAAAGAATAAATACTAAAAATAATTTTATTTTATGAATTTAATATTTAATAAAATATTTTAATATCATTTTAATCAAAATATTAATTATTAAAATATTTAAAATATATTTATTATATTTATAATAATATATTATTATATTTTTAATATTATAATAAAATAATCAATTACATTATAATAATATAAGATATTATATTTTTATTTTAATAATATATAATAAATTATTAATAAAATTTATATCATTTATTAATTTCATAGAATAATATTATAAATTATAAATAATGAATAATATCATTTATATATTTAATATTAATATAATAATCTAATAATATTTTAATAAAGATATTTAAAATATACTAATTAATATTTTTAAAATATAATATAACATTGTTACTTTAATAAATAATTAATATAATTTATAATATTTTTATTTCAATAAAATATACCAATATTACTATTTTTATTAATAAAATTAAAAAAATAATATTTAATAATAAATAAATTATTTTAATATTTTAAAAATAATAATATTAAGTTTTATGATAAATAATATTATTTATTGTATTTAATATTTGTAATAAATGATTTTAAAAAAACTCATTAACTAGTGGAAAAAAAGGTTTAAACAACATTTTTTAAATATCATAAAACGTTTTTCAGAAATGCAATTCATTTTCCAGAATTCAAATTCCAGTAATTCATTTTTCAGAAAACAAATTGCAACCAAACAAACATACCCTTAATCCATAATTTTTTTCTTCCTTTCTTCAAACCATCGTTTCAGTTGCCCATAAATTCCTTCAAACCCCGTAAATGCACCTTGATTATTTTCCACACAATCCAAACTATCATTGCAAATATTACTCGTCAATTCTTTTGAATATGAAGCATCAGCGTTTTACCACCATGCTTATTTCGAAAATGAAAGGTCTACCAAGCATTTCAAGAAACATGGCAAGAATTATCCAGCTTAGAGTTCCCGAAAACCTCATTGAAACAAGTAAAATACAAACGATTTGATATTGATATCGTCAAAAATAATAACCAGTGACAAATGGTGATTGATTGTCGATGACGATTGAAAAAATACAATAAAACATTAGTCATGGCCAAAAGCCCAAAACGATATGTCATCAAAATGACAAAAAGATATGTTCATATCATCGTGCCATTAAAACTTAACAATCCAATGATATAATTAAAATTAAAACCAAAGTTCAACATTATAATTGAAAATTTCGGCCTAAAATTCAATAGTACGGTGCAACTTACCCTTAAAAAAAAAAAAAACCTAAATTGACCCGGGTTAAAAACATACATGCATCCAACATTCACGTTCGAGTCTCAAGTATAATAACAAGAGTTTACCCCTACAGCTAAGCTCCTTCAAGAATAGAGACATGTGCTCCCAGATTGCTTCTTTACATCTGAATTCTGTACATTCATTTCGAACGATCAATGAAATAAGTTTAATTTCCCAACTCTATAAATATTCCCACACTACTGTAGATTATATACCCAAAGGATTTGAAATTCAGCACCCGCCATTCATTTCCACCACCAAAACTGTCGAAACAAATACATCTTCCTCATCCGAACATTATACGCCAGGAACGCCCGAGCTTTCATAGGGTCTGCATTCAAATACTCGAATGCATACATCTGTTTAGCTTCTTCCAGACCATCGATCTCCAGAACAGCCTGTAGCAATTCGGAGGGATTGATTGTAGTTTTACTTCGATCCATTGCATCAGCCAACCGCTGAATGCTGGATGCCACTGCCACCATTGCCTCCTGAAGAGCATCTGCTTCGCGAGGCTGCTTTGAAAGTTGTCTGGGCGGTTCCATTACAGGTGGGTCTTGACTACCTTCTTGTAAATACTCTGGTTGCCTGGAATATGATTCGGTGTCATCTGTATCACTTAAGTCATCGGAACTTGGTGATGCGAAAGAAGCAGAATCCTCTTCAAAATTCTTGTATCCCGTTGGATGACCTCCGTCCTTCATCTTAGCCCAACGACTCGGGGCTTGATAGTTGCCACAAACAATCTTTAGCTCATCATACATCTCAATCTGCTTTCCCCAAAATCCTTTTGCATCGGGGTGTGCCTGTTCAATATATTCATAGCTAAACCGTACATGTCAAGTAACATAAAGAAGTATATACTAAAACCGAGAAAAAAAGAACGGAGAATAATGTAGAAGATGCTGACCGCTATATATCTTTTCCATAGATCTTCACTGTCACATTCAATCATCTTCGTATTTGGATTCCACCAAAATCCGTCTTGACTTAGAATATCCCTCATTACCTTGTACCTTTTCTTAATTGTCTTAAGACGATTAACAACTTTTTGGTTGTTCAAGTTCAAATTAAAATGAGAATTTACAGCAATACAAGCAGCAGTATATGCATTTTCATTAAAGCACTTGTCAATTTTATTCCCGTTTCTAGCCTGAATTGCCAGAGCTTCGATTAGACACTTGTCCATCGCAATTGACCATACTACATTTCTTCCTTTATGCTTCATCTCCCTTCTCTGTGCCTTCAGATCATGGTGGTTCATTCCTAAACCAGTTCTAGGGAAAAAGAATGGTTGTGTCATGTTGCAGTGCAATACAAAGAAATGGAAATTAATACAAGTCGAATTACAGACTAACATGAAAGCACAGTCATCCGACCAAATTAAAAGAAACGAAGTAACGATCATTTCAACACATTTTGACTCCAGTTAGAAAACAACAAAAGGTCAAGAAAAGAGTCGCATTACGTTTGGATCATATAAATATGGAAAACAGTGATGATTGAACTGATGGAAAATGTCATATAAAAATTAATTAATTTGTAAAATTCTAACTGAAAAGAAGTCCAAAAAGAACAATTTCATGTAAAAAGCATAGTTAACACAACTTCAATTAAAGAATGGACTAAGAAGACAAATAGAAAATCTATAAACTATTTCTCATTCAACTTCGGATGTGCACCCATTTCCCCCTTTCTTGGCCTGCAATTGTGAATGCTCTTAGTATCAAACATTTTATCTGAGCATTCACTACTATCATATAGAAAGAATACTACAAAGGGACTTTATCTGTGAAATGTCTTCATTGGAGAATTTATCTATCTATATTATGAAAGAAATTATTTTCTCTCCTATCTGTTTGGTTTCAAGCGCTTGTTGTGCCGGTTGATATGCTCTAGACTATTTATGTATTACCCTTGTTTCTTGCATGTTCCAGAAAATATCATAGAGGGTAGTTTACCCTGTTATCTTGGACAAAAAGAAAATTTGACAGTTACTAAGGATTGTAAAGTTGGTTCGTAAAAGTGAGAAAAGTGACAACAGGAAAGAGAGAGCCAAAGACGGGTTACCGGTCTCATCTTACATGACCAATTTTGCACCCGCCTCAGTTCCTTATGGCATGCAATTATTTGTCTTTTAATGAAAGATTCAAATTTCAAAAATAAAATACTAAAATTTATAGCTCCCTATACCCCATAATCAGAAAAACTCACAGTCAAAGCCCCATTCGTTTAACCATAAATGCAAAGATTCTAAAAGTACCTGTAATCCAAAAAACATGATAAAAGCACATGCAAGTGCACAGAATCATTCCAACCTATGAACCTAACCGAAAAGAATGTAGCTTTTCAGGATTAAAATACCAGGACACAAAACCACGGGCAAATTATGTCAGTCAGGCATAAGGCAGGAAATAAAGTTTTACGTCTAAACCAAACGATGAGGATGAGCATTGTCATTCTATACATATTGAATACTTAATTCATTAGAAAGCAGGAGAACAAAAGCTTGCCTCCAATAATAGATATAAACGTTATCATTGACCATTTAGTAAGTCAACTCAAGGAGTTGCTTAAAATTTTACACCCGTACAAATAAACAGATTTGTTCTAGATTTCTAAACTATTCCTGATCATTGTATTGTCGAGACAGAGCATCAACAATGTTCAAAGACCAGCACATGTTCAGCTGCCATGCGTGTGATGCATTTAACAGATCTCATAAGTTGAAGTAGGGGATACTTAAACAAAACAATAACAAAAAGGAACAAATATATTCAATCATCCTTCTTAAAAGAGAGAAGATTTGACTGCAATTTCTCCAATCATAGATATGAGCACTATCATTAACCATTTAGTAAACAAAGGCAAGGAATTGCTTAAGATGCAGTACTCATAGAAGTACGCGGATTTGTTCTCTACGATAACAAAAATAAAACAAACAGAAATGCAGAGAACACTTATTCAATAATGCTTATTAAAAGATATAATATCCGGCTTGATTTTCTCCATTCAAATCCAATAAACCAAAAGACCATAAAATGTCATATGTGAAGCCCAAATTACTCCCTGACCATCACATGTAATTTTAAATTGAGTTGTTTACTGATATCTTTTGGCATGTATAGAGACAAACATTTGAGCAACTAAATGCTTTCGAATAATGAAATTATATCCAGTTTGTAATGGTCGATGTAATAGAGAAAAATGTCCAAATCGTAAGAAATTACAATCGTATCCAAATATCAAAGATCAAAAACTTCTCAATCTTTCCAGGCATTCATCATCAAAGAAATTGGCATCGCTAAACCCCATTCTAATGAAGCTTAGCACCAAGTTTCACTTAAAGATAAGCATTCGAAAATCAACCTTTTGGCATTTAATTGAGCTACCCAAGTCCTAAAATACTCTAAAAGAACCTACACTAGGAGTGTCCACACCTCAGAATCTTTACTAAAATTCTCCAAAGATAAAACACGCATTACTTCTCTAATTTACAGATAAACCACAAACAAGCTAAAACAACACAAAATATCCACACACAAAAACTAGAGGAAGAAAAATCAAAATGTTCAGTAGTTTACACTTCATATAAACAATCAACTAATCAAATATATAAAAAGAATAATTTATGAATGAGAGAGAGAGAAAGGAACAAACCTGGGAATCGTGATAAAATTTTGAAGAGAAAAAGAAAGTAACAATCTCTCGCCGGTGAGAGGCCCGATCTGGTCGCCGGGATAGACAGATAACTACGTCACTAGTGAGATGCTACGCGAGATAAGTAACTGTGACAGTGCATCAGGAGAGTTTATTATTTGTTAGGGTTTCCTTTTTGAACTTTTTTGCTGTTGTTTGTATTTTCCTTTTTTAATTTTCTCGAGAAAAAGAAAAGAGAATAGTCAAAATATTTTCTCGAGGAGAGGCACTTTCTCGAATACCAAACGCGTGTTTTTTCGCTAAAGTCATCCATAAGTATCTAAAAACAATGTGAAGGTCCTTTCACAATCTTCCACGTCATCCTAAAAGGGTTGTCCGACTTTTTTTTTAATAGATAATGAAAATTTCATTTAGACGCCGATGACTTCGAGAATTATATCTTTTTATATAATTTAATTCATCATGATATAATTAAAATGGATTGATATTCCACAAAAGTTATATTGCAAGTGTGTAGCATCTATTCTCCTATCGGCTCATATAGTGTGTCTTAAGGTAGTAAAGTCCCTCCAATAATGTTCGAGTCTTGTTGAGCATCAATTTTACTATAAAAATATTATTTAGTGAATTTTCCAATCGGTTGACAATTATAATGATGTCTCATTTAATAATTATATGATCTATATATTTTTTATTATCATATGAAATTCTTCGATGAAGACGATTGTTTCAATCAAATATAGACTATCATACTTTCTTGCGATTCCACCCATCACCATGCCATAGAGGTCTCTTGTTAAGACACCAATTGCAGCTTCACTGGTACTAGGTAAGTAAGCTCATTCCACATTGATTTTTAGGACATTTAACGCCTAGTCTATTCCAATTTTTTCTCTTTGCTGAATGCGATTCATAAAGAGCTCCTTTAGACCCCATAGCCTCCTAAAAATCACAATTCAAAAATTATGCATTGTTAAAGACTTCACTAGCGTTTTTTTTTAAGTTCTTCGTCATGGACTTGTATATGATATATTCGGCCAATTCCATATATTCCAAACGAGGACGATGAGCTTTTGACAAAGAAAATTGACAAGGGATTCACATGGCTTAAATATTTTTACAGTCCTTATATTTAATATTTTCTCACTACTTTATATTTAGAGGTTTTTTTTTTCGTAGGATTATTCATTTTTTTTTATTAAAACCAAGTTAATCGATTAAATCAAAATTTGATTCGATTAATTAATTAATTTGATTTTAATCCGATTAACAGTTAATAAAAATTTTAAAATTGGATTAATAGTTAATCTAGTTTTATATAATACGATTTTAAAAATATTTTTAATTTTTAATTTTAATTTTAATTTTTTTATATTTTATCTGTATTTTGTTTTTGTCACATGACATTTTTTGATTTTGTGCAATATAGTTGCTTTTGATGTTGTCATGTCATCTTGATGGACAGAAAGATTAGACAATACAAGAATAGTAATGATGAAAGACATTAGGTATCTAAAAAATAAAAACAAAACTTAAAACTAAGAATGAGTATAGTTCAAAGATGTTTTATAATAAAGTCATATTTAAATAGTAATAAAAAATTAAATTATTATTATAATAATTTTTAATTATATATTAACTTTTGTGTACTTTTCCAACTAAAACACAAAATTCAATTTGAGATTTTAGGAATATATGTATAACAAAGAAAATAAAGTGTTTTATAAAAGTATATTTGACAAAATTAAACCGACAAATGATTATTAGTAGGGTGGTAAAATAGTTTTTTATAAATAAATAAAAAGTTGAATAGAAGTGGCTATTGCCAACTATTGGATTCCTCCTAATTTACCAATCAGTGAGCGCAACTTGTTTAAATAAGCTATTTAACAATAAATCACTTAAACTATTCTATTTAGATGAAATATATTATTTATAATATACTACTCTTAAATGGACGACAAGTTCACGTTAAATTAATATCCCGTGATTTTTCTTATTTGGATTTTGCGTCTCACTCAAATTCTAGGAGTTGTTATTATATTTTTATTTTATATCACTTTTTAGTTTTACAAAAAAAAAAAAAAAGGAAAGTGATATTATTTTATTTGAGTGATACCCTTCCAATGGGTATTGATAGAAGCTATTTATTTTGAGTTGTTTTATTGTTCTTCGTCTTCATTTTAGCTCTTTAATAATTATTCCCTTATCGAGCAAAAACAAAAAATATACTCAACAGCATGAGAAGCAGCAGCAGACGACTGAGATGTGTAGGGATGGACATAGATTTTATACAGGTTTATAAAATTTTAAGGAATGGTGAACTGTCCTATCCATCTCCCCTCATTTCATCTCTAGAGATACATAAAAGTTTAATAGCCACGTTATTTATTTGGGGATGAGTTTAATTCCTTCTCTTCATATATATATAGTATTATACGAGTATTATATCTATTTATATCGATAAGGGTTAATTACATAATTCATACATTAAATATATAGAATTCTTAATTTCACACATAATATTCTTAATTTCATTTAGACGCCAATGACGTCGAGAATTATATCTTTTTATATAATTTAATTCATCATAATATAATTAAAATAGATTGATCTTCGACAAAATTTATTATGTAAGTGTGTGTAGCACCTATTCGCCTATCGGCTCACATAGTGTGTCTTAAGGTCGTAAAATCCCTATGATAATGTTCAAGTCTTGTTGAGCATCAATTCTATTATAAAAATATTATTTAGTGAATTTTCTAATCGGTTGACAATTGTAATGACATCTCCTTTAACAATTGTGTGATCCATCTATTTTTTATTGTCATATGAAATCCTTCGATGAAGACGATCGTTTCAATCGAACGTAGACCATCATACTTTCTTGCGATTCCTCCCATCACCATACCATAGAGGTCTCTTGACACCAATTGCAGCCTCACTGGTACTAGGTAAGGAAGCTCCATCCTCATTGATTTTTAGGACATTTAACGCCTAGTCTACTCCAGTTTTTTCTCTTTGCTGGATATGATTGATAAAGAACTCTTTTAGACCCGATAGCCTCCTAAAATTCACAACTCAAAATTTATGCATTGTTAATGACTTCACTGGCCTTTTTCAAGTTCTTCGTCATGGACTCATATATGATATATTTGGCCTTTTTAATTTTACAAAAAAAAGGAAAGTGATATTATTTTATGTTAGTTTTTAGTTTTGCCGATACCCTTCCATCTTTAATAATTATTCCCTTATCGAGCAAAAACAAAAAAAAAATCATACTCAACATAATGAGAAGCAGCAGCAGACAACTGAGATGTGTAGGGATGGACATAGATTTTATATTAAGAAGACAGATTTATAAAATTTTAAGATATGGCGAACTGTCTCACTCGCCTCCCCTGAGTTCATCTCTAGAGATACGTTAAGTTTAATAATCGCATCATTTATTTGGGGATGAGTTTAATTCCCTCTCTGCATATATATATAGTATTATATGAGTATTGCAAGATGAGATAAGAAGAGCAAAAGGCCTTTCTGTTTTATTTTAATCCATATACATACTATTCTACAACTAGCCATGCATGCATGCATGGCAATGACATAATTTTGAAGGCCCCAACATGAAGACACACTTACTTGGTTACTGGCTGTCAAATTTATTGTCCTAGTAGTAGTAGTAATGCAGACAGGCATTGCATTATTATTATTGAAGTTTTGACAGCCACACAGTGTGATGAGGCAGCCATGTGATCAGGCCTGAGGCTCAATATATACATTCACGGTTGGTGAGCGTGTCTTTATATTATCAACTGCAATTGTTGCTCTGTATCCAAACCTAACAGCTTCATAATTCGATCTCCCTCTGTTATCAAGCTCCTTTTTGATTTGATTCCAATCAATTTTTCCATCCACGATAGCAGTGTACACCTGCATACACATAATTTCAATGATCTATTGCTGCAGCAGCAGCAGGTAAAGAAATGAAAATTGCATGCATGCATACCTTGCTGTCTTCACATCTAGGGTTGCTCCAGGTAACGACCCACTTTTTGCCATCGTCAAGAATTTTGTATGCAAGACCAGCAACTGAACCCTCCGAAAGCCCTGCACTTTGAGTAAACTCAGCATCATCGTCGTCCGTGATTTTTCTGGGGAAATTAGTATGCCGATCTCCTTCCCAAACCTGGCGGCTTATCAGGGATACATCGTGTTTGGAATTGTTCTGAAGCTCGACTTTGGTGTGTTTTTTATCTTGAGGTGTAGCTCCTCCTCTAGGTGCCATCAGTTGAGCCATGGTTTTGGTTTTGGTTTTCGGTGGTGTTGTGCTTTGGGTGTTGCAATACACACCTACTTATATATTGGTTTAAGCCATGCACTGTTCATAACATGACAAAGTGAATGGGGGCTAAACTCACGATATAATGCTTTCAAAATAAATAATTCACGATCTAATGCACTCCCTATATTATTTGCTGAAATAGGGTGAAATCAACAGTGTGTGGTCGTAGGTCGCCATGCCTTCCGGGCGACCTACTACGTCGCCATGGCTTCCCGGGAGCTGCACAAAGATAATGGACGTCTACATGTGCCATGCACACCCCCAACACCCAACACAGGTCGCTATGCACGTCCCCAACACCCCAACACAGGTCACCATGCACTCCCAGCGACCTTGTAGGTCGCCAATCTGTCCCGGCGACCAAGCTTTCCTTTACGTGCTCCCCTCCTGCTCCCGCTGCATGCCTGCAGCGTGAAATCACCTGCTTCATGCAGCAATGCATGCATGTGAACCATTAGAGCCATGAATTATTGGTGCAATTATTGAACCATTGCAGCGTGAAATCAGCTGCTATCATAGCTGCAATTGCACAATTATTGGTGAAATAATTGAGGCAGCCGGTGACACCTAAATTATATATGGGGTGTGCATTATCGTGAGAATATAAAATAAAGAAAGGGAGAAGAGATTGCAGCAGAAGAAAAGGAGAAGAAATTGCAGCCGAGAAAGAAAGAAAGGGAGAAAGGAAAGGAAGAAGAAGAAAGGGAGATAAGGCTCTTGTGAGGTAATTTTTTTTATTTAAATTAGTTTATTATTATAAATGTTTAGTTTGTTAGTTTAGGGTTTATGGTAAAACAAAAATCAGTTAATTAGTTTGTTAATTTAGGGTTATATGATTGTTAGTTTAAGTTATATTATACATAAATAAAAAATTATTTAATTAGTATGTTTGATAGTTATATAGTTAAAAAATAATTAATTAGTTTGTTTTGTTAATCGTTAGTTATATAAAAAAATTATTTAATTAGTTTGTGGTAGTTAAATAGTTAAGTTATATTTGTTTGTTGAATTTATATTATATAAAAAAATTAGTTAGTAAGTTTATTAGTAGTATATTATAATGAAAAAATAGTTTATTAGTTTTAGTTATATAAAAGAATATTTTATTAGTTGTTTAAGGGTTTAGCGTTTACGTTTAACTTATATTTTAAAAAGTTTAGTTTGTTAGTTTATTAGTTTATTATATTATAAGTTATTATATTAAAGTTTTGTGTTGTAAATTAGTTAGTTAGTTTATATTAGATTATATTAAATGATTTTTTAAATATTGTTGTTTAATTTTTTTTACAGATTCATTCCAATGGCTGACCAAATTCCACTGTTGAGGCTTGACAATGAACATATTTCAAGTCATTTGGGAATAATGGTGAATAAAATATTTGTTTAATGAATTATAATTAATAAATATTTGAATATTATTTTATGATTGTGATAAATTTTTTGAAATATTTAATTGCAGGAGGACGAGCAACGAGTCCTTCGTCTTCGGCTACATAAAGTGCCCAAGCCACACAGATTGATAGAAGAAAACTTGCAGGAGGCTAGATTTTGGTATGTAACATTTGTGCGAGATTACAAGTTGGTCCCAGGTTTGATCAGTGCCTTGAATGAGCGTTGGAGACCAGAAACGCACACGTTTCATTTGCCGTGTGGCGAATGTACGATAACTCTGGAGGATGTGGCATTGTAACTCGGGGTCCAAACAAATGGGATGCCAGTGGTAATGTCACATGAGTTTAATAATGTGGCACAACTTTGTAGCTTGTTTCTTGGGAAAAATGCCCGTACCACCAGAGTGTAAAGGGTGGCGTGTGAGGTTGTCATGGTTGAAGAATGAATTTCAGCTTCAACCAAATAGTACGGAGCACGAAATTATATATGCAACACGAGCATATATATTACAGTTGATTGGGGGTATTTTAATGCCGGATAAATCTGGTAGTTATGTTTACACTCAGTATCTTCTTTTTTAAGAAATTTTGAGAATAGTAGGCAATATAGCTGGGGATCGGCGATATTGGCGTTCTTGTATCGTGAGATGTGCAAGGCGTCATTAGTCGTGAATGATAATAATACAGCCGAAATCGGTGGATGTCTGTTGCTGCTACAGTCATGGGCTTGGCATAGACTTCTGTTTCTAACACCGATTAGTCGGACTGCGGTTGACTTTCCGCTTGCCGGAAGGTAATATGAATTCTCTATTTTAATATAAAATATTAATTATAAAATAAAAATGACCATATTTTTGTTTTGATTGATATACAGATGGAGGCATAAAATTGAAGGCATGGGGTTAGTGCACAACAATATTAAAGAGTTCAGGCTGAAGATCGACATTAAGGCAAAAAAGGAGGTATGCATAATCTGTTATTTTTAATTATTATTTAAATTAACTATATTATTTGATTTAAATAAATTCTATTGTTTTTGTAATTTTACAGTTTAATTGGAGACCATACATGAATGAAGAAATACTTGTGTTGATACCGCATGATATTTTAGATGGGTTTCAATATTGGTGTGCTGTTACACCATTGATCAATTTTGCTTTTGTTGAGATCCAATTTGGGGATAGAGTGTTGAGGCAATTCCACTTCCACCAACCTATTCCGCGGAGTCCATGGGATCATGACCTCCTCCAAATCTTAGATGGTCGTCGTCAGGTGAATTGGGTTGAGACGCATGACCAGCTGCACAGATTTGATGGTCGTCGTAAAGAAAATGTTAATTGGGTTGAGAAACATGCAACCTACATTAATGCTTGGAACAATAGGGCTTCATTCATGCCAACTCTTGACGACATTCAAGACGACGACTTTAATTTTGAGACTTCGACTTACATTGCTTATTTTTTGGATAATGGAAAGCCATTATTGACAACAATTGTAGAGAGGCGACAATTTTTGAGGTTTAAGAAAAGATTTGGTAAAGCTGAATACTCTCTACCAAGTGGGAGTGGGAGTTCATCTCAACAACTTGAAGCGGAAATGACTGATGTGGATAATAGCGCACCACAACCGTTCGGCGATGCATACATACCAGAGTTTGTGCAGCCTGATGCATCCATCTACTCTCCCATGTTTTCGTCGACGTATGACTTTGAACACATGTCAGTTCAAATGCCCCCAACGAATGAGGAGGATGGGTACCATACTCCTGAGCAACCGCAACGGCCACAACGCATCATACGTCCGCCCTAACATTATCATTCAACAACACCCTGACATCGGCAACAATTGTAAACTAGTTTGTTATTTGTTACAAATTTAATATTGAAATTAGACTCATTTTTTCAAACCTTAACAAATTCGATATATTTATAATGATTTTTAGTATCAAATCATTATTATAATTTCATTACTATAAAATCATTACTAAATCATTAATATCAAATCATTAAATATTAATAATAAATTATTATTACTAATCATTACTATCAAATCATTAAAAATTAATAATAATTTCATTATTACTAATCATTACTAAATCATTAATATCAAATCATTAAATATTAATAATAATTTCATTATTATTAATCATTACTAAATCATTACTATCAAATCATTAAATATTAATAATAATTTTATTATTACTAATCATTACTAAATCATTAATATCAAATCATTAAATATTAATAATAATTTCATTATTACTAATCATTACTAAATCATTATTATAGTTTCATTACTAGTTATGTAACGAAAATATGATTAATTGAACCAAACATTGTTCATTGTTCAAGTCGTAAATCATTACTATCAAATTATTGTTAAATCATTAATATCAAATCATTAAATATTAATAATAAATTATTATTACTAATCATTACTATCAAATCATTAAAAATTAATAATAATTTCATTATTACTAATCATTACTAAATCATTAATATCAAATCATTAAATATTAATAATAATTTCATTATTACTAATCATTACTAAATCATTAATATCAAATCATTAAATATTAATAATAATTTCATTATTACTAATCATTACTAATTCATTATTATAATTTCATTACTAGTTATGTAACGAAAATATGGTTAATTGAACCAAACATTGTTCATTGTTCAAGTCGTAAATCATTACTATCAAATCATTACTAAATCATTAATATCAAATCATTAAATATTAATAATAAATTATTATTACTAATCATTACTATCAAATCATTAAAAATTAATAATAATTTCATTATTACTAATCATTACTAAATCATTAATATCAAATCATTAAATATTAATAATAATTTCATTATTACTAATCATTACTAAATCATTAATATCAAATCATTAAATATTAATAATAATTTCATTATTACTAATCATTACTAAATCATTATTATAATTTCATTACTAGTTATGTGGTTAATTGAACCAAACATTGTTCATTGTTTAAGTCATAAATCATTAATATCAAATAATACTAAATCATTAATATCAAATCATTAAATATTAATAATAAATTATTATTACTAATCATTACTATCAAATCATTAAAAATTAATAATAATTTTATTATTACTAATCATTACTAAATCATTAATATCAAATCATTAAATATTAATAATAATTTCATTATTACTAATCATTACTAAATCATTACTATCAAATCATTAAATATTAATAATAATTTCATCATTACTAATCATTACTAAATCTTATAAATACATAGAAATTCATAGAAATACATATATCATTACTAATGATAAGGCCTATATCTTGGTAAATTAGGATAATTGTTTTTTGAATGGCCTTCACCCTACATAATCCGCATCTCTTTGCTTGACCTCTCTCTCTAGCATGGAAATCCATACTGGTATGAATACGAGTGGACTCAGGTCGACCCTTTGGACTTCTGTGAAGCATTGGATTTGGCAGCCATTCGTCATGATCTTTTCTGGGCCAATATGATTCATTCGGGATCTGTCTGAATGCATAGCTGTAGACATTT